GGTTTGGGACCCCCCAGGTTCAGGGTCGAGGGTTTTTTTTGTTGTTTCGGGGCTGGGGGACCGGGGTTAAGAGTTCAAGGTTTCGGGGAGGCCTTGACGGGGTTGAGGGCATTTCGGCGTCCAGATTTTGCGGGTTGGATGCGCAGCCACCATCGTTGGGAGAACTGATTTTTTTGGGGGGTACTGGGATCATCCTAAACCCTAAACCCTAAACCGTGGTACACCGCCTCAGAGGATCCCCTTCAGGAAGCTTGGTTTTCAAGTTCAGGGTTGCTGGCTCTGAGCTGTGCGGAGCTCTTGTCCAAGAGGGAGGTCCGTAGCAAGGGTTTGATCCCACTCCGCCCGCCCCTAGCCACTACCACTACTACTACTACCACTGCTGCTACTACTACTACAACTACTGCTACTACTACTACTACTACCACAACTACTACTACTACTACTACTACTACTACTACTACTACTACTACTACTACTACTACTACTACTACTACTACTACTACTGGAGAGGCCACCTCTACACGGGTCTGTTTCGAGCAGTGTTTTTGGTACCAAAAGTGGTGTTGCTGCGTGGAGGTCCTGTGTGACGGAACGCAGCGTGGAAGCCATTCGCCCAGCCTCTCTGAAGTCTGTTTCAGATGTGCTATGTGATGTGGTTTCTTGGACCGATTTCCTCCGCCAGTGACAGCAGCCGTTTTAGACGAACAGCTATGTCATTGCTTGCTCGCGGCAACTAAAACCTCTACAGAAGGCCCCCAACATCTTAGCAAAACCGGCTGTGTTTGCAAGCATTATGCAACAGCAGTGCATGCCTCAAATCTGACAGCTAGCAGCCGTGGAGTGGATGTAGACCAACTTCCAGCAGCATGCAGAGTTTGTCATGTGTTTGCGGAGAATCATAATGGCAACTCAGAACCATTCGCGGCGTCAAAGAGCTGGGAGGGCATCCAGCTGCCCGGCTCTGAGTTTGAAGCAGAGCTTGGAAGGCATCCAACCCAGTAGCCTGCAGAGTTTTGGTCATGTCTTCGCCGAAATCAGAGCTTGCAGGGCATCCAATCTTCCAGCAGCATGCAGAGTTTGTCATGTGTTTGCAGAGAGTCATAATGGCAACTCAGAACCATTCGCGGCGTCAAAGAGCTGGGAGGGCATCCAACTGCCCGGCTCTGAGTTTGAAGCAGAGCTTGGAAGGCATCCAACTACCCGCTACCCAGTAGCCTGCAGAGTTTTGGTCATGTCTTCGCCGAAGTCAGAGCTTGGAGGGCATCCAGCTTTCCAGCAGCATGCAGAGTTTGTCATGTGTTTGCAGAGAGTCATCTTTGGCAACTCAGAACCATGGCCGTCGTCAAAGAGCTGGGAGGGCATCCAACTGCCCGGCTCTGAGTGTGAAGCAGAACTTGGAAGGCATCCAACTACCCGCTACCCAGTAGAGTTTTGGTCATGTCTTCGCCGAAGTCAGAGCTTGGAGGGCATCCAATCTTCCAGCAGCATGCAGAGTTTGTCATGTGTTTGCAGAGAGTCATCTTTGGCAACTCAGAACCATTCGCGGCGTCAAAGAGCTGGGAGGGCATCCAACTGCCCGGCTCTGAGTGTGAAGCAGAACTTGGAAGGCATCCAACTACCCGCTACCCAGTAGAGTTTTGGTCATGTCTTCGCCGAAGTCAGAGCTTGGAGGGCATCCAATCTTCCAGCAGCATGCAGAGTTTGTCATGTGTTTGCAGAGAGTCATCTTTGGCAACTCAGAACCATGGCCGTCGTCAAAGAGCTGGGAGGGCATCCAACTGCCCGGCTCTGAGTTTGAAGCAGAGCTTGGAAGGCATCCAACTACCCGCTACCCAGTAGCCTGCAGAGTTTTGGTCATGTCTTCGCCGAAGTCAGAGCTTGGAGGGCATCCAATCTTCCAGCAGCATGCAGAGTTTGTCATGTGCTAGCACAGTGTCATCTTTGGCAACTCAGAACCATGGCCGTCCTCAAAGAGCTGGGAGGGCATCCAACTGCCCGGCTCTGAGTTTAAAGCAGAGCTTGGAAGGCATCCAACTACCCGCTGACCAGTAGCTTGCAGACTTTTGGTCATGCTTTCGCCGAAATCAGAGCTTGGAGGAGCATGCAGAGTTTGTCTTAGAGAGTTCTTGTGTGTCTAACGCGAGGACGTTTCCTGCAATAACAGGTCTGTGATGCTGGAATATCCTGGACGATTGCGCTACACTGATGCGCTCAAGGCCGAATTCCTGTTCGAAATGCATCGTGATGCGGAGAGATCATTGCAGTTATTGATCTTGAACAAGGAATTCGCGCGACACTGATGTGCGGAGGGCGGGGGTAGGCAGGGGGTGAATGAGGGCGGGCAGGAGGGAGGGAGGGAGTCAGGGAGGGAGTGAAGGAGTGAGTGAGCGAGGGAGGAAGTGAGCGAGGAAGTGAGTGGGGGAGTGAGTGAGCGCGCGTGCGTATCATTCTTCGTTTTCCCTTCTTTTTGCCAACACGTTCGCGTCGTTACAACAAAGTTTGCCAAAGCGTAGGCCGCGACTCAAAACCCGCGCAGTCCCTACCACTGCATTCGGAAAATTGTCGTTAAAGCGTTTCGGACATATCAGTCTTCGTTTGGCCTTGTTTTTGCCAACACTTTCGCGGCGCTGCAACAAAATTTGCCAAGGCATAGGCCGCGACTCAAAACGCGCGCAGTCCCTACCATTGCATTTGGAAAATTGTCGTTAGAGCGTTTCGGACGCATCCGTCTTCGTTTGGCCTTGTTTTTGCCAACACTTTGGCGGCGCTTCAACAAAGTTTGCCAAGGCATAGGCCGCGACTCAAAACCCGCGCAGTCCCTACCACTTCATTCGGAAAATTGTCGTTAGAGCGTTTCGGACGCATCCGTCTTCGTTTGGCCTTGTTTTGGCCAACACTTTCGCGGCGCTTCAACAAAGTTTGCCAAGGCATAGGCCGCGACTCAAAACCCGCGCATTCCCTACCACTGCATTCGGAAAATTGTTTTTAAAGCGTTTCGGACGCATCCGTCTTCGTTTGGCCTTGTTTTTGCCAACACTTACAACAAAGTTTGCCAAGGCATAGTCCGCGACTCAAAACCCGCGCATTCCCTACCACTGCATTCGGAAAATTGTTTTTAAAGCGTTTCGGACGCATCAGTCTTCGTTTGGCCTTGTTTTTGCCAACACTTTCGCGTCGTTACAACAAAGTTTGCCAAGGCATAGGCCGCGACTCAAAACCCGCGCATTCCCTACCACTGCATTCGGATAATTGTTTTTAAAGCGTTTCGGACGCATCAGTCTTCCTTTGGCCTTGTTTTTGCCAACACTTTCGCGTCGTTACAACAAAGTTTGCCAAGGCATAGGCCGCGACTCAAAACCCGCGCATTCCCTACCACTGCATTCGGAAAATTGTCGTTAAAGCGTTTCGGACGCATCAGTCTTCGTTTGGCCTCGTTTTGGCCAACACTTTCGCCGCGCTGCAACAATGTTTGCCAAGGCATAGGCCGCGACTCAAAACCTGCGCATTCCCTACCACTGCATTCGGAAAATTGATTTTAAAGCGTTTCGGACGCATCAGTCTTCGTTTGGCCTCGTTTTGGCCAACACTTTCGCCGCGTTGCAACAAAGTTTGCCAAGGCATAGGCCGCGACTCAAAACGCGCGCAGTCCCTATCTCTGCATTCGGAAAGTTGTCTTGACAGCCTTACGGCCAAATTCTGCGATGTTTCTTTTCTGTTTACCAATACAATCAATACAAACTGCTGTGAGTGAGTGAGTGAGTGAGAGAGAGAGAGAGAGAGAGAGAGAGAGAGAGAGAGAGAGAGAGAGAGAGAGAGAGAGAGAGAGAGAGAGAGAGAGAGAGGGAGAGAGAGAGAGAGAGAGAGAGTGCGAGGGAGCGAGGCAGGGAGTGAGGGAGGGAGGGACGCGGGAGCCTGCGAGACTCGAGTTTGATGTCGTTCTTGAGATCTTCCAAGCAAACAGTCCCTGAGTGCAGAGTGGAACTTTTGCACAAGCAGTCCAAGTTGTTGCCATCGCAGACAGAGTCTTGGCCCTGGCAGTGTTTGAAAGCAAGGAAGTGTGCGCATGACTGCGAGGGCGCAGTGAGAGGATGAGAGCGCATTCTGTCACGGAAGAGCGAAGAAGCTATATGTCTCGCTGACTCTTCCGTCTGACGTGGGCAAAAGTCTTGACCAGGATGGGCTATGATGACACGCCAGACATGCTGCGGCCCCAGTGTGTGTAAGAGCGAAGGGAGAGACCTCCCGACTGTAATGAATTCCTGCGTCATGCGAAGGCATCTGAGACCTCGCGACTGCAATAGATTCCCTGAGTCATACGAGGGCGTGGTTGATGAAGTGGCCATTTGTTTCCAAGACGCAACCGGGCTGGAGACCACGAGTAATCAGCTCATGGATAAAGGCCCGGAGACCACTAGAATACACCAGAATGTTCGGCGGTGCCCGGTGCCGGGACATTTCAGGAGCGCAAAGCCTCGCAAAAACCGTGGTCCTGCAAATCCGTGTTTTAGATTAATAATTCTATGCTCCCACAGCGGTTTTGAAGGACCCCAGGTGTCACCTTGCAGTTCTGGTCTGCCGTGGTCCTGCGCGGTCCTGCGGTAGTGGTTTCTGCAATGAGAGCAGGTCCAGATAGGTAGAGGTTGGATCCAAGCCCGCCCGAGGGGGCAAACACCAGGGAAGCACGGACGCAGGTGCAGACCTTGGTCCGAGATGCGTGGGTGGCGAGGAGAATGGTCGAGGAAGGCTCACATGGGCACGCGCGGCGTAACGTCCTGCGTGTGGAGTTTAGTAATGTGGAGCAGAGAGCTCCATTGCTAGAGGCCATGTGGGGCCGAATTCCCGTGCATCTCATGGCAGCGGCCAGGGCTGTTTTGGCCGCTTGGCGTGCAGAACAGCCTATAGTGATGAACGAGCAGCCGCTGCCTTCCTATCGAGGTTCTGGCACAATGTTCAGATACAGTGGTTCCTGGTCCAAGATCCCAGATGTCAGGGCCAGCGCAATGCTGGCAGAAGGCGACGCAAGGATTGCCGATGTGTGTCGCCTCTTGCAGGACAATGCCGATGTTGCAGCCCTTTGGGGACATTTCCAACGTTTTGCCGAGCAGCTACGGCAAAGCAGCAAGATGGATCGGTTGACTTTGGCGTGTGAGCTGCACACAGCTGTGAGTCTGGAGACGCTGACGCCCAGCATCCACTTCCATCTCATGTTTGACTCCAGATGCTTGGTGCCGGCGCAGTTATTCTGAACTTTTGTCCAGATCCAAGTTCTGAATTCTTCGTCATACGTCCCGTTGTGTTTTGAAATCTTGATGGAGCGTGAAAATTTCAGCCACCGGCAATAGGACTTGTCGTCAACAGTGTTCCTGGTAGGCCAGATGATCCCCCATGCCCCTTTTGCTCTTGATGTAGCAACAAGGACAGACGGTGACGCTGCCGAAGCCCAGTCTGTTGTTTCGTGGCGCCGTTCCGCATCAGTCTGTGGAGTGCAAGCAAGCCCGTGGGAAAGCTTGCCGAAAGGCCTACGACCAGGGGCACTACTACCTGCAGGTGCCAAAGACTGGCTCCATTCATATGACGACGACAGCAGCAGCCTTCACCACCTTCCCTGTTGCTCCGGATTGGATCACCAACTTATGGCAGGCCTGTAAAATCACGGAGCAGGTTGCGGAGCAGGAGTATTTGCGCTGCAAGAAACACGTGAAAGCCTACTTAGACAACATGAAGTTCCATGCCCAATGCGTGCAGACACAGGCCGTCAAAGCGAGGACGGCGCAAGATCTCCAGGAGCTTCAGCCCCTCATGAAAAAGGCCGTCGTGATCGAGCAAGTCCAGCGTGACTTCCTTCCACAATTTACCAGACCCATGTTCAGAAGGAGCTTTTTGGTCCTAAGTGGACCCACGCGCCTTGGCAAAACAATCTATGCCCGCAGTCTCTTCGGTCATCGCGAGACACTAGAACTCAACTGCTGTGGAGTGAGTCAACCTTATTTGCGTGCCTTTGACAATTTGCTGCATCGAGCCATCTTGTATGACGAAGCTTCGACGGCCATGGTGCTCAGCAACCGTCGCCTTTTCCAGGGATCTACAAAAGAGGTCACGCTCGCTCATTCTGGAACAAACATGTTCACCTACAGTGTGTACGTCTACAACGTCGCCATGATCCTGACATCGAACTCTTGGCTACGTGAGCTGGAGGAATTGCCGAAAGAGGAGCGCGAGTGGCTCGAAGGTAATTCAATTTGTATAAATTGCACGCAGCCGCTTTATGAGACGTAACAGCCAAGACACGAAAAGCTCTGACCGTTCTGGAGATGTTAGAGGCTTCTGAAGCCCGCGAGCCAATCCGAAGCGCGGAGAACTGCAAGGTCCGAGCTCTCAAGGAACAGCCGGTAGCCGCGAGCCCTTCAACCCCAATCTCCAAGCCCTAACAGCGGTCAAGCTCCATGGAGCACACCTCGGAACAGCCGGTAGCCCCGAGCCCTTAAACTCGAAGCCCTAACACCGGTCAAGGTCCACGGAGTCACCTGCAGCTTGATGGACGTGGCCTCGGAAGCGTCATGTAAAGTGTGACGAGTTCCGAACAACAGAGAGTGATGGTTCCAGACATTGTGTGTATATGTGGAGAGAGAGAGAGAGAGAGAGAGAGAGAGAGAGAAAGTGCGCGCGTGTATGTGGGTAGGTGTGTATGTGCGTTCGTGTGTGTGTGTGTGTGTGTGTGTGTGTTTATTTGGAGTTCTCTCACAGTATTCGTTTCCGTGAAATGCTGTCAACTAGATGGGTGCATACATGTTCCGTCTGCTTTGTTTTGGTTCCCTCCAAGTCCTAAATCATGCATCGTCTTGCAGATGCGTACCGGAAAACATGCATCGTCTTGCAGATACGCTTTTCTCTAAATGTTTGGCCGTCAAAGGCTAGAGGAGTGCATACATGTTCCGTCTGCTTTGTTTTGGTTCACTCCAAGTCCTGGGTTATGCATCGTCTTGCAGATACGTACCGGAAAACATGCATCGTCTTGCAGATACGCTTTTCTCTAAATGTTCGGCCGTCAAAGGCTAGAGGAGTGCATGCATTTACCGTCCGATGGGTTTGGTTCACTCCAAGTCCTAAATTATGCATCGTCTTGCAGATACGTACCGGAAAACATGCATCGTCTTGCAGATACGCTTTTCTCTAAATGTTTGGCCGTCAAAGGCTAGAGGAGTGCATGCATTTTCCGTCCGATTTGTTTTGGTTCACTCCAAGTCCTAAAGAATGCATCGTCTTGCAGATATGGTGTCAGGTCTCGTGCTGTGTAAACGGTTTGTACATGCAGCAGATCCAAGCTTCCACGCGCCGCTGCAGGTCTGTCTGAATTCATTGTGACCGGGTGGCAGCCTGAGTTGGGACGGTCTTCAGGCGCATTATCACATCTTGGACTGCAACCAGTCTTGCAGACGTGTCCTGGTGTTGGATATAGTGCTGTGTAAGTTAGGTTTCCCACCCTTCCGGGGGCCGAGGATAGTAGCCTTTGAAGGCGTTTCCCTTGTGCTTTGCTAGTGATTCCGCCAGTTGCAATAGGTGGCTTGCTGTTGCTCCGTTTTGCTTCAGTTCGGAGCCCAGACTGGTGAGACATGCTGCGCTTCCCGCCCTGTACACGTTGGCTGGCTGGTTGTCGGCTTGGGCCACCCAAGCCCTGGTAAACAGCATACAGAAATCGCGCAGGAGACAAAAACGGCCTAGAAGAGAACAAAAACAAAAGTGAGCTACCAAATTATTGGATTGTAGTCTCGGGGCTGAAATATGAGGCCTTCCAGACAGTGTCTATTGCAAGCAAGACCCCATGGGCGCATCCCTGGAGGTCGCTCTTGTGAAGATATGCTCCGTGGCAGAGGCATGTTGTGCAGCGCGAAAACAGCTGGAAAGACAGTGGCTTGGGCGTGCAAGATCTGCGCAGAGTGTTTTCTCCCTGCCGCACTGTCCATTTTTGTGGCCTGTCCGTCTTAGCAAAGGTCCAAGCAAGCCTTGCCGAGCTGGTCTTTTTCCGTAAAGAGGCCCCGCAGGTGACGTTGTTTAGCGAGGTTGTTCTGCTGCAAGTGTCGCAGGAACAGTTGGAGGCTGATGCTGGATTCTTCTCTATGTACAGAGGCTTCTCTATGTACAGAGGCCAGGTCTGTGTCTGCTTTCCTTCTGGACCACATTGGGTGTGTCTTTGTGCGAGGCACCGCTGTTGCTGGACGCACGTTGCGGACGAGGTCCTGAGGAGCGGTAGCTTTGGAGCACAGGCCTGGTGGCTGGAGAAAGGTTCATGCGGATTCTGTGTGCTTGTGTGGGCGTGCCGGATTACAGACATGCCATGAAAGCAGAAGGGCTGGACGCTCTCTACCAACTGGGTTTCTGCAGCTGTTTTGTAGCTGTGGCCAGACCTCGTTGCGTGGGGACCTGAAGGCGCGGGGCAAACCAAGTTTCTGCGGTGTGGAAGAAAGCCGATGCATGACACAAGGTGCTGGGTAATGCCTCCGAAGCAGAGCGACCAGCAGGTAGGCTTCTGTAGTTTGATCATGCTTGGTTGGAATGCCAAGCTATGCTTGTTAGGTACTGCACGAGCTTCTGCGTCTGAAAGAGACGCGCAAGGCCTTGAAAGCAGAACTGCGTGAGCAGTCGAAAGAGCATCGGAACCTGATGGCACGACGCAAGCGCCTCCTGCAGGCTCGCGTAGAGCGACGCCGTGTGATTTCGCGTTTCTGGCTTGCTGGCCAAGCCAGGCCACAAAGAACTTAAGCAACGAAGACCTCCAGCTGCTGCTACGTGCGCGAGAAGGTTTGGTCCAGACTCTTTCTATTATAGTAGACTTGTGGGTGTACTTCGGGGAGGCGTTGCTGCTGCTGACCCCAACGGTCAACCTCTCGCTGACAACGCAGGCAGGAATGCGTGGGAACGTTGTTGTCACACACACACACAGACACACACACACACACAGACACGCACAAATTGCCGACAGGTCGCGGTGGCGCAGGAGAGCCTGCAGGTGCCAGTGTGAGAACGCATGTCCTGTCTCATGCGTCGTTCGGTCTAGACGGTTGCGTTGGACGTGTGGTGTCTGCTGGGTCGACCAGAGTTTTGCAAATCCAGCAAAGCATGATGTGCGGTGCATGCATGCGGGCGCTGAGCGTTGAAGGCTCTGTGGCTGGCGTTGCTTTTCCTAGAATGTGCGTGATTGGTTCCGGTGTTGATTTGGCCTGTCTGGAGCAGCCTGGCCTGGGGGGGCCTCCCCGGTACTACTACTACTACTACTACTACTACTACTACTTACTACTACTGCTATTACTACTACTACTACTACTACTTCTACTACTACTACTACTACTACTACTACTACTACTACTACTACTACTACTACTACCTTGCCAGTAGGCAACTCTTTGATGCGTATATATGGGAGTTTCCGAACATTCGGGGTACCTTATTTTGGGTCCTTATAAGAAGGATCCTACTATTTAGGGTACTATATTAACCAGCTTTTTGAGCTTCAAGGCGGCAGTGCTCCATCCGGTCGATACCAGCCTCCTTGCTCTTTGCCCGCAGTCAGGGTTTAGGGTTTAGGGTTTAGGGGGTCGGTAATGAAAGGGTTCTTATCAAGGGTCTATAAGGGTTACTATAAGGGTTGCTATGAGGGTTACTATTATAGATGTTGCTATAAGGGTTACTATAAGGGTTGCTATAAGGGTTCACTATAGGGGGGTCAATAACTACTAGTTCCCCATACTTTCTAAGGGTGTTCTTTATTCTAGCTACAGCAGTATAACATACCCCCATACCCTATTCTAATTGTTGAGGTCCCTGCAGTACATGTTCCAGTCTTAGAGGTGTCTTTTTTCACTACGTCGCAGCATTTCCAATCCTGGCGGGCCTAAGCCCTAAACCCTGACCCAAAACCCAAGAGTTTAATAGCCCTTCCTTTGCGCGCCTATTGCGGGCAGAAGCATTTGCGAAGCCACAAACGTGGGCAAATCGAGCAATGCCTTATGCAAGTGTGTACCCGGCTAGCTCAATACCCCCTAGCTCAAAGGAAAACCAAGCCAAAAGTTTTCTTGTTAAAAAATGTATGCTATCCCTTTACAGAGAATGCGGGGAAGACCATGCACACCACTATCACACCTAGTCGAACTCCCAAGCGCAGGCGAGGTAATTCTTCAATTTTTGGGTTGTTGTGGGGTTTGGTGTAGGGTTTAAGAATGAGTAGGGTTTAGTGCTAAACTCTTAAAGCCCTCGCACCCGAAAACTCCCTTGATCCCCAACTCGAAACCCGAAAGCCAACAGCTTCAAGCCCTGATGACGGGCTTCGAGTTTAGGGCTTAGGGTTCAGGGTTCAGGGCTTAGGGTTCAATACGGTTTAGGGGTTTGGGGCTTAGGGCTCAGGGTTTAGGGTTTAGGCCCTGGAATCCGGAAAGCCCAGCAGCCCCCGAAACCCCCCCAAAGCCAACTAAAACCCTCTGCTTGGAGGTTCATGGATAGTTATAAGTGGAGTTATAATTAGGGTAACTATGGTTATAACCCCTACTAGGGGACCTCCAAGTAGACCCTAAACCCTATACAATTTTAGAATCCCTATAGATCCCTTTAAAGGGACCCCGAACCCCCCCAAAGCCAACCTAAAGCTCTCTGAGGTTCGTGTTGCCGTGCCAGTTACTGGTTGGGACTGCCTCCTGAAGTTCAGAGCTCCTCGGGCTAGGGTTTCGGGTTTAGGGCTTAGTGGTTTAGGGTTTCGGGTTTAGGGTTTCGGGTTTAGGGTTTAGTGGTTTAGGGTTTCGGGTTTAGGGTTTCGGGTTTAGGGTTTAGTGGTTTAGGGTTTCGGGTTTAGGGTTTCGGGTTTAGGGTTTAGTGGTTTAGGGTTTCGGGTTTAGGGTTTCGGGTTTAGGGTTTAGTGGTTTAGGGTTTCGGGTTTAGGGTTTCGGGTTTAGGGTTTAGTGGTTTAGGGTTTCGGGTTTAGGGTTTCGGGTTTAGGGTTTAGTGGTTTAGGGTTTCGGGTTTAGGGTTTCGGGTTTAGGGTTTAGTGGTTTAGGGTTTCGGGTTTAGGGTTTCGGGTTTAGGGTTTAGGGTTTGTCTGGGCCTTAAAGGGGCCAATAAGGGTTACTATAAGGGATCTACAAGGGTACTATAGTATAGGGGTCTTAGTAAATACCAATACTACTTAGGGGCATATTTGGACCCTGGGTTCTGGAGGGTCTGTATACGGCTTTCTAAGGGTTTTTTTACAGTTCTTACGGTCTGTAAGAGCTTTTTATGTGTGCTTTATACGG